TGTGTGACCATCATCAATATGTAATTCAAGAATATTTATATTTTTAAAAACCCATACCCACACCAAAGACTCCTAGTTCCTCCCCACCCGCCATCCTGATGACCACTAGTCTCCTTTCTGTCTCTGGAAGCTCCCCATTCTGGACTTGTCATCTGCATGAATTCTAACACAGTGCCACATTTATGCCTGGCTTCCCTCCCCATCATAATCATCACAAGGTCCCTCCATATTGGAGCACCTATCAGCATTGTATTTCTTATGGAGAAACTTCCATTGCACTGACATACCACATCGGACTTATCTGTTCATCATTGGAGTTTTAGTTGGATTGTTTCCATTTGGGGCTATTCTGAAGAATTCTACTGTGAGCATTTAAGTCCGAGTTTTTGTACCTACCTATGTCTTCATCCCTCTGGACATATAAGGCAGAATATAATCCTGAGTCATGTGGCAACTCTGCTTAACTCTGAGGAACTGTCAGATTGTTTTCTAAGCAGTCTACAAACTTTACATTCACACTACCAGTATGTGAGGGTTCCCACTGTTCCATGGCTTCGCCAATGTTGTTTTGGGTTTTTTTTTTGTTTTTTTTTTAATTTTTTTTTATTTTATGTGTATGCATGTATTGCCTGCGTGTAGGTAAGTGCACCCATGTCGTACAATGCCTGCAGAGGACAGAAGAGGCTGTCAGAGCCCCTGGAATTGGAGTTATAGACAGTTGTTAGCTGCTATGTGACTTATGGGATTCAAACCCAGGTCTTCTGCAAGAACAACCAGTGTTCTTAACTGCTGAGCCATCTCTCCAGCCCCCGCCAACGTTGTTTTATTATAGTCATACTGATGGGTATAGTGTAATTGAATCATGTTTTGTTTTGTTTTTTGATTCAGGGTCTCTCTGTAGCTGTGGCTGGCCTGGAGCTTGCTATATAGACCAGGCTGGCCTCCATCTCACAGTGCTGGAATTAAAGGCATATGCTACCTCCCCTGCTAAATCACTAAAGATTTTAGTTTTCTTTTGGGGAGGGGGAGGTGCAGGGGGTTGAGAAAGAATCTCCCTGTAGCCCCAGCTGGCCTGGAACTTGTTATGTAAACTAGGCTGGCCTTGATGTGACAGACATCTACCGGCCTCTACCTCCTGAGTACTGGGATTAAAGGTGTGCACCACCATGTGTAAGTTTTTAATCTTGATAAGATCCAATGTTTTTGTTACTATTGCAGCTGCACGTAACTTTGGTGTCATTTAAGAAACTTTGTCTGACCTAAGGTCATAAAAGGTTGGGCTCATGTTTTCTTCTTGGAGTTTTCAGCTGTGATGCTTCCATTGAGCTCTTTAATCATTTACGTTTTACTTCACTTTTATGTATGGTGTGAGGTTGCGGACCATTCATTCCTTTGTGTGTGTCCCCAGCTTTCTCTGCATCTGTTGAAAAGGCTGCTCCTTTCCCTACTGAACTGTCTTGGTACCTTTGTCAATTATCAATTGGCCTTAGATGTATGAGTTTATTTCTGAACTTTAAATTCTACTCCATCCTATGTCAGTAGCCTAGTTTCTTTTTAAAAATTATTATTTTTATTTTATGTGTATGAGTGTATTGTTTGCATGAATGGAAGTACACCCGTGTTATGCAATGCCTGTGAAGGTCAGAAGAGGACGTTGGAGCCCCTGGAACTGGAGTTACAGACAGCTGTTAGCCACCATGTGGGTGCTGGGACTTGAACCTGGCCAGGTCCTCTGCAAGAGCAGCTAGTGCCCTTAACTCTGAGCCATCTCTCCAGCCCTGCCTAGTTTCTTGGTTATTCTAGCTTTGTACTAAACTTAAAAGTCTGAGTGTGTGAGTTATCCAGCTTGTTCCTTTTTCAAGATTATTTTGGTTAGTCTGGGTCCTTTGCATTTCCATAGGAATTTTGGGATTGACTTGCCAATTTCAGCACAGAAGTGAGCTGGGATTTTGAAAAGTACTAGATCAACTTGAGGAATGTTATCTTAATAGTAAGCATTTTAATGTATAAGCGGGATGCTCTCCCATTTATTCAGACCTCCTTTCATTTCTTTCAGGAGCATTTTCACCACACACATCTTACACTTTTTAAGTACAATGTAAGGGGTTTTTGTTGGTTTTTTTTCTTTGAAGGGAAATTTTTTTTGGTCTTTTTGAGACAAGGTCTCCCTGTAGCCCCAGCTGGCTTGGAACTCACAGAGATCTGCCTGCCTTTGCCTCCTGGGTGCTGGGATTACACCCGGCTTTGATTGACTTTTAAGGCAATCCAAGTCAACTTTAGTAGTTTATCTTTGCAGGGTTTTGTTCGTTTCACCTACATTGTCAAATTTGTTGGTTCACATTGTTTATAGTGTTGCCTAATTATGTTTATAAGAAGTGTAGTAATATCCCTCTTTCATTCCTGAATCTATT